TCTTCCACTAGGAGACCCACCGTCTGCCCTCCAGACACACCTCGGGGCTTCCCAGGGAGCAGGTCACCCAGCAGCATTCAACAAGCTTCTGGAACACACTTGCAAATACCTCACACACCACAGTGAAGTCTCACCCACACCGAACTTCTTCAGTTAAAGGGAACATTTTGCATAGTGAAGCTAGTATTATTTTCATCCTCAAATAGTATTCTGAAAAGTGTTATCTCTGCCTTTAGTTATCACTTTTGTGTCTCCTTTTACCCTGAATCGCTGGTAATGTCTGATTACCTATGCCAGACACCAAATAAAGAACTGGGTGTGAAAAATGGTGTAAAAACTCTTAATCTAATTTACATTTAAAAAAACAACCCACTAATTAGAGATTTAGTAACCTTTTCCTCAATGTGATGGAGGTACTCTCAGAGCACTGTATAGGAAATCACACACAAAATCATCACTTGGACAAGAAAATTTTTAAGTTAAAAACAACATTTTAAGAGAATATATTTAGTAACTACTTTACTTCGAAAAGTTCTTAATAAAGTAATTCTATATAAAACTAACTTTCCAAGTCTTTCAAGGATTCAAGGTTTTAAATTTGACTTTTGATAACTAGTCTTTGCTAGCTACTCTTGAATTACTGGCACTTTCCCTAAAATTGAGGATAAAACCACTAACACAATCTCTAAGGAGCCCCAAGAATAGAATAATCTATACAAATGGTCAGTTTACATATTGATTTTAATTGGAAAACCAGAACCCAAAGTAAGTATTCTTCTGACAAATCAGAATTCTGAGTCAACAATTCAGAAATGGAAAATTCAAAGGTAGCAAAAAGTATTGTTAATTTTAGGCACAGTGAGACTGTGGAAGCAAGATGTTATGTGAGAATGAAGTTCTTTCTCATTCATTAACCTGTTGAAGTCAAAGGCTCTGCTGGCATCCCACACACACCACTAACAGGAAGAAATAAGTTCTGAATCTACATATTTGCCAAAGAAATTACTATTCATTTCAATATTTACATTTTTATATTATTCTTAATAGACTTATGACACTAGTCATATATTACCCCCATTTTGAATACAATTTTTACTGGATGTGCATACGCAACCAAAGAAAATTAGCATCGTGGATAAGTCTTTTTCCACTACCAATGGCTGAACGCTCTTCTACTACATCCATTTTCAACTGCTCAATAACTGTTCATGCGACCGGGCAGTGTGGATGTGCAGTCATCAGTATTTATAAACTGATCTATTTTCAAGTGGTTTTTATTTTTAATTTTCAGAGACTATTTCCAGTCCTCGAATAAGGCGTATTTGCTAAAAATATAGCTTTCAATCATGTCTCTTCTATTCTAGTCACTATTTTGGATTTTCTCACCTCTTGGTCTTGGTTCCTGCACCTAGCCTCCCACCTATGGCACCCTGGCTGGGCCTCAGCATAGCAAACGCTCAGAGTGCTGGGAGGTTTACACCTCGTTATCACAAGCTGTTCTTTAAAAACACTGAGGCTTAATGGATAACCACCTATAAGATCTCATCATAATTTTTTGTGACCCCTTGTTCAGTCATTCAGTCAGAAAATATTCAAACTCCACCTGTCCTAGGTACTGTTTCAGCAGTGTCAGCACGCTTGGGAGGGTTGTCAGGTGCTAAGGAGAGGGAGGTAAAGGTGGCTGGGAGGACACAATTTGTGGGAAAAAGAATGTGAAAGCACTGGCCTCAAACCCACTCTTCCACATTACAGCAAACTAGAGGTTTGGTTAAACAGCAACTATACAAGTTAGAATTACATGCTGTCAAAAGAAGAGCGTTTGCTCTTAACTTTTGTAGACTTTAAAAGGAATATAAAAAATAAAAATGATATATAGATTTGAAAGTGTATTTTAAATACACAATTAATTTCTACACATTCACAATATATTGCCAATTATTTTATATAACTTGGTAAGGCATTTGCCCTATTTTAGAAAAATAGTATATTCAAATGTTGCCTAAGCAGGGAGATCATTAATTACCATGATTCTGAAGAATGAATTACTTATTTGGAGCTGTATTTTTTCAAGTAACTAAGGTTTTAGAAAAATTGTGTGATGAACATGAAATGTGTCAAGACAGATAGCAGCTAAAGTGTAGGGCAACCCAGTGGGAGAGAGACTCTGCCCAGGCCCCAGGCCAGGGTCAGTCAGATACTCTCTCAGCACCTGGGGACAGGGAAGTAGCAGCCCCACACTAACTCCCTAAGTAACCAGCCTTGACTGCTGGCAGTGCTGGGCTGCAGGGTATTTCAGCCTTAGCTGTTTATCCCCTGCAAACCACCCTCAGCTCTAGAATTGGTCATGGAAAGGGCAACAGAAAAAAGGAAATGAAGCACATTGCTCTTTAACCCAAATGAGACCTGTTTTGGATAAATTTATTCTATGGAGAGAAAAGTCACAAATAAGTAGAAAAGAATTTAAAAGCGCAGGTGTGGGCAGGATGGGGTTGCCCTTCCTTATTCCTCAATAGGCTGCTAGCCAGGAGCTACCTTCTCCTCTGGGTACTGAGGAGAAAGTAGCCCACTGAACTACAGTGCTCACACACCTCTCCTTCCACCGCTCTCTTCCTCCCCATGCTGTCTGAGGCTGACATGTCACAGGCATGAGACCTGTGGCAACTGGAAATTAATAACCCCTATCTTTACATGCAGTTAGGTCACCAGCTTGAAGTGGAGTTGTCAGCCCTTACCCTAGAGTTAGTTTAAAATAAGCCAAAGGGGGAGAAACCAAGATGGTGGCATAGGTAAACACCAGAAATTGCTGCCTCGCACAACCACTTCAAAAATACAACTCAAAGACAAAACGGACATCATCCAGAACCACAGGAAGGCTGGCTGAGTGGAAATTCTACAACTAGAAGGAAAGAGAAAAGCATACTGAGACTCAGGAGGTATGGAAATAAAGTGCAGAGGTACAGAGGCGCATGTGGAAAGGGCTGGCAACTGAGGACACCGTTGTCTTTTTCAATTGGGAGGGAATCTCAAGCTCCCAACTGCGCTGAACTCCAGTTCCGGGCGAATCTCTGGGGACCCAGACTCATATGGGGAGAAACTGGACTGTCTGGCATTGGTCAGAACTGGAGGGCGGCTTTCTCTCAGAGTTGCTTGAAGCTATTACCGGGACACTGAGACTCCGGGCCTCTTAGGGTAGGACTGAGGATCAGCCATAGCTGTTAGCTCCGCCTTGTTGATTCCCTGAGACCCCACCTGACCCAAGCTGTGCACAGAGGCTTTTGCATATGAAAGCCCGGGACCTTTGCAATCTGAGAATTACCTAACAAACTGCAGCTGGGTCAGAGAGACCCAGAACTTCCAAAAGAAGGCCCAAGGTCCCAAAGCAGCTTGCATTGCTTCACAGCTCGGCCTCATCTAGGCAGCTCCAAACTCCAAACAAAGAAGAGGAATCTGCAGCTCTCTTCATAGCTCCTGCTAGGTAGACTCAGGAAGAGGCTAAATTAGCACATCCTTAGAGATCCAAGAGCCAGTGTACCCAGTGGTCAGAGTAGGACCATCCAGATTACAACTCCTCAGATCCATAAGGGACACACTCAGGGGGCACACTCAGTGAGCACCAAAGCCCAATTGAAGCAAGTCTTGCCCCAGAAGGGTGTCTCCAGCACAGAACCATAGACA